GAGCCCTTCTCGTATCTGCTAAAATTTTAAAGCCTGTCCGATAAATCTTGGATTTTTGGTTTCGAGAAGCCACTGACGATTTTTTACACTTTCTCCCGGTAATATTTGTGCGGCCATGCAGTTTTGAGGTTTTTATTGCATCACATTGTCTTGGTATTTTGTAATAAGCTATTTTGTACTAATATTTATTCCTAAGCCACTTTCACTGTTCCTTCAACATTGCCCAGACATTTTACGCCATAAATTTGTACAGTATGTAACGAATATTTAGTATGTAAAATGCTACTTATCACATAAGTGCCGTTTTTGATTGATTATCATAAGTTTGATTAAGCTTTTGCGGCCTCCCATTTCATGGAATTGTTAGTAACAAATTTGCATTTGATACATTATGTAAAGTATGTTTTCGTAGCACAAGCTGTTGCTCTATTATAAAAGCGTGCTCATGAATCCGCAGCTATTTCAAATTCATTTTCCTAAAGTTATTGGAACATTTTCAAGCCAGTTGGAAACCGCAGCTGTTAACATCCTTATTTTTTAGGGATTTTTTTCAACGGAGATAATAAAAAAAGTTGGGATTGGTTGGAACCCTCGACCTTTGACATGAGAGTCTGTGCTTGTTTGTTGAGCCATCAGTCTCGGATTTCAGCTCACAAAAAATTTTGGTCCAAAGCACAATTACTTTCTTTAGTTCAGTGGCTTTTCTTCTGATGTTCAATTATCAGTGCATGGGTAAAATTCTGCAGCTTGTTTCATTATTTTTCGCCATTCTCACATGCTCCAGCACAGCAAACTTACCAAAGAGTTAACACACATTTGAAAGAATACTGCAGTAAGTGAAATGTTTAAAACGCTAATAATCAAACAGAGTGCAGATAATTTTATGAAAATAATGGAAATTTGTCATGGTTTTTTTGAATCTTCTCTCTCTCACTGTACTGTTTCTTCTGCCCTTCTTTTACACAGCTGGGTAATGGATAGTATAGTAGCGGTGGTAATTAAATTAATATTACCTGCCTTTGCATTTCTGATGCTTCGAATGACGCCATGCATCCTTAAAAAACTAGTTTCCAGTATGAAATTCTTCAGTTTTGTTTTAATTTTTTGTATTTTTTGAAACGTTATGTCTTTTTTTTCATGCGAACTGCTTTTTATACTCTCTACTTTCAACGAACCACATTGGTTTCTGTGTATTCTAATTTATGATTTTTGAATTATTAAAAGGCATTTGTTAAAAAGGTCTCATGTTCGTCATTTGCAGTTGGCGGGAGCATTGTCAAAACCGAAATGTGTTCCCTTTCATCTTTTGTTCTCCTTTATTCATTAAATTTGAATAATCATTTCATTGCTTTAAACTTATATTTATTTATGTGAATTATTATTTTTATATTTAGAACAGGCACCGCAAGTTTGATATTTTGATCCCTGTTCATTTAAGTGGTAGCTGATATGACCGCTTTAATGGTAAATCATCGAAGCGGTCTGGCATAATTTATGATTCGAAGGTAAATTGGTACGACTAACCAGTATATTATTTAATTTGATTCCCTGATTATTGTGGAAAGGTCTTTTTTCATGAATTTATTTCTTCATGCACTAGAACTTTTTTCTGTTGATATAGATGAGGAAAAAGTTTTTTTCTTGGAATTTATCACTACGACTGAGGGCTAGTTGGGATAAGGTAATGCAGGACGGCAGGGCCTCGTGAAATTATGCGCCCCTGTAGCGTTAATAGCATCGGATTTTCACGTTGGTTATTCGGACTGGCATGTTAACTGGTTGATTTTAAGACAAGTGGCATGATTGTAATACCTTAGATGATTTGAAAACTTATTGCTTTTTTATTCATTTGCAAGAGGGTACCTGGGTAATCCTGCCAATTCGTTTTTCTTCCTAGGAAAAGTGAATATATACATGTGTATATATAGATTATTTCATAAAGTTCATTGCCTTCGTCATATCACCGTTGCACAATTCGCAATTTGCAACAGCACGCCACAACTGCTGCTTAATCATTTGTCTTGTAGCCGCCAAATTTCTCATTTCCGCTCAAAATGGTTCGAACTTTAAGAATAAAGCCATAAAAAGATGGAGGGGATGGGAAGGAGATTCGATATTTTCCCGTCCCGCTTTTGGTGCTGCAAAAGCATTCCGACATCGCGGATTCTGCCATTCTTTTCTTCTTCCTGTTACAGAAATGACTTCTGCTCTGTTTCACCTTCCTTGACTCTTTATCGCTAGCATTTTCTTTGTCTCTGGTAAATTCCCACCTCTTGACGGCGGTATCCTAGAATTCTATCCGCATCAAAAACTTGATGATTATCAACAGTATTTCAGGGTTTATTCATTGTGTCACAGAAAGCAATTTTGATTTAGTTGCGCATGCTGCATATTTTTTAGTGGCAGTAGGTAGGAAATCTAAATGTTGACATTCGTTTTTATTCGTGTTTGCTAATCTAAGCGATTTTTAATATTTCATTTATCAGTGATTCCAACAAGATTTTTTCAAGGCCCAACCACGAAAAGCAGTCCTCACTCTTTGATGCAGAGTTTTAAGAAGCGCATGCTGGTTTTTCGAATTGGTGTGGGTTGTCTGTTCAGCGGTTCTCCGGACAGAAGCTCTTGATGGGGCTTTAGTCATTTCGAGATGTTTTTGTTGTGTGTTGAACATCACGGCCTCGTTGGAGCGTTGCTGCTACTACACCGTGATAAAGTCCTTATCAATTTACCGAGAGATGTTACTATTTGCGACAAAAGTGAACTGAAGTGAACTGCATACAGTGATTCTGACGCTATATTCATAACATTCAAATTTCTCTGCAAAGCATATTCGTATGCTGGGCTGTTGCTTACATTAGGCTATTGATAGTTTTTTTCTCCACGCATTGTTTATAGAAGCAAGCCCGAAGTGATTACTGGACTCTCCATTCATTTCGGCTTAGCAGTGTGCGATTCTCTGTCGATTGGCTTTCCTCTCATTAGGCAGTTTTTTGCTATCTGCAATACCGATGCACTGAGAAACAAACGGAAAAAGTGCGTTGACCTCGTAAATTCGCAGTTTTTAATGTGAGGAAGTGTGAAGGGGAAAGGAGGGAAATGCATAAGGACGTTTTTGGAGATCGTAACTTTCCTGTCGGGAATATTTTCTTTTTTATTGTCTGTACTGCTGACTCTTTCAGTATTCTTTATATTTGGTAAAGTGTGAAATTTCAGTTCTTATCTTTTACGATATAAATAAATGGGTGTAAGCAAACGAGTGGAAGGAGAATCTACACAACTTTAAAATACAGGCTTTAATTTTTGTTTAGACTGTGTCGGCTTCTGACTGCTTTCGAGTACCTTTGTCTCCCATTTTGAGTAATGGATGGTTTTTTCAGCGATATTTTTTTAAATCTTCCTTTTGACAAATATTACATCTTTGTGGCTTAATCTTCCTTGTGACAAATATTACATCCTTGCTTCCATATATTACATCATTGCTTACATCCTAGTTGCGCCACTAACATGAGATTCTTTCACTGACAGCCTGAGCAATCTCAGTACTTTTAGTGTGCAATTAGCTAAACAGGTGCATTACTGTAGTGATGAGATGTCAATAATGAGATACTTAATATTGGGCGGCGAATAAAGTATTCTTTAAAAAACTGATGTCAAGATCTACGGATAGCTTATTTGACAGTAGACTGGGGATTGCTCATAATCGAAGCTGATTCAATAGTGCACCCTGTATAAGCATAGAGGTCTACCACCACTACGATGAAATGCGGCTACGTCGCAGGAAAATCGCGGCTTTACAGACCAATAGCTCGAGCGATCCTGGTGGTGGACTCTCCTGTTTTTTGCAAATTGATGCTCGTATTTTTGCTTTTTGGGGCTTTACTGACCTTTTTTTGGAGAAACAAGGAAGCTTGCGGAAAAGCTTGACTTTGACAAACTGGTCTATGTTACGACCGACGAGACACGATGGAGCGGGATCTAAGGAAGAGCAACCTGCAAAAATTTATCCTGCAAGTTTGTTTTGAGTATAAAACGCAAAGCTCTTGCAAGTATCACGATTAGGTCACTACTTATACATCTACCTTACGAGCTTTCTTTGAGTAAAGCCGTGGAATTCCTGTAGGTACCACGGCTAGAGCAACTATCCGAAAAAGAGGATTGCGGGAACAAAGTGATTCTGGACAAAATCTGCAAAGTTCAGTTGCTTTTACCACATTTTTTGTTGCGGGAATAATTTTAGAGCGACTCGAAAAAAAAAAACACGTGATCGCGTAAACTAAAAGCGTGCGCTGTTTCGTCAGGCTTGATTTGACTTGAGTCTTTTTCTGTACTTAACTAACACAGATTCGTGCTATGCTGAACCTTTTTTTAACATGCAGCTTTTTTGTATGTCTCTGATGCACTTTTCCTCACTCCTGGGGCCTTTGTTTTTTTTTCTTTTTTTTTGGGAAAATAACTACGGGATTGAGAATAACTGCGTACATATATATTCTGTCAGAATTCGAGTCATTTTCACCATGTCGCTATTTGCTGCATTCGAATTCGTGCTACTGATGATATTGAAGGTGCACTGCTGGGAGACTTCAATTAATCTACCTGTGGTACTTCATCTTGTGTGAAGGAAAATTTTTCGGCCACACCGCAACGAAGACAATAAATAAACAGACAGACAATAACAGCAGTAGCAGCGTGGCTTATTTGAACTTCGGTTCCGGATAATATTATTTCCTGGATCCGGCATAAAAAGCTAAATTTTGAAAGCAGACTTCCAACACACACACTGAAAAAATGCTGGAAAAAGATGCTGTTCCGGACCGAGTATGTAGTAGTTATTTTTTCCAAGAACAATCCAGTAAATTTGTCCAGATTTGAAAGGAACGGAAATTGATGCGCAGGTTTCAGTGCCATCAAGGGCTCCGCCCTGTTTGTCCATCTAGGTGACTAGGGAGATAGGGCTTCATCTCGGCAATATCTAGAGCTCCGCACTGCTGGTCTGGGCGACCATGGTGGAATTTTTGTAAATTCCGTTTTTTTTAAACGTTGTAAGAGACCTACTATTGCTTTTTTGGTGGCAGGAAGGCAAAAAGGCTTTACCGATGGAGCTTTTAGGGGAACGAAGTTATTTAGGAGAGCGAATTTTTTTTCAACCGTTTGTGCTTGAGGCGCAGATTTTTCAACAGATGATGTTAAGGAGTTAAAAAAAATCTGTTTTTGTGAAAAACATTTTCAATCGCTTGGTGATTTTTCAGAAAAAACTCATTTTTTTACAGGAAGGAAATATTTGGAAGTTATTTTTGTAGCAATTTATAATTTTTCAAAACATGTGTATTTCTCTATAGATTCTCGAAATTTTCAAAACTGCTGGCAATTTTTGACATATTAAACTACATTTTTAAGAAATTTTTGAATGTTTTCCTGTGCTCCTTCATGCGCTGCAGAATTTTTGCTCTGGCATGCTGAGAGAATATTTTTGAGAAAAATCATCACTGAAACGATCAAATCAATCAGCCGTGATTCCAAAAAAGTTTCAGTAATTGATACTTTTAAGCGCCACATTGAATGTAACACAAATGAAGAATCAGCGTGAAAGAACCCAAATTATTCGTGTCTAATTCACTGTCTGCGTGAAGTGGAGGCACTCTACCTGGTAGCACATTGCCAAAAGCAGTCATCTACTGGCAAGGCCTACAAAAAATAGCTTTCTTATCCAGCATTTGTTTAGAAATGATAACGATTCTGACCTTTTGGAATGTATTTGTATTAATTGGCCATCGAAACGAATGAACAAATCGTAGAGGGATTGAGAGTCAGTTACCGGCACGAGCTTAAGAGCGTCATTATATTGCAAGTCTTGAGCATAAATATCTGATATTCATTAATGTTATTCTGCAATGAGCTTCCAATATTATATGTTAAAGGTGATAAGAATTGAAAAAATTCTGATCGAGAGTGTATTTAAGGAATTGATTTTAAAGGCAGTTTTTGTCGTCTCTTAATTTTCACTGATTAATTAATATTTTAAGGGTGGTTATACACAGCCGCTGTTGATGGCTGTTGCGTCTGCAGCAATTGGTGGTTCGTTTCAATTCGGCTACCATATTGGATGCATCAATGTTCCTGCACGGGTAAGTTGCTTCCTCCAGGAATTCCCACGCGGTTTCTCATTAAGTTTTCAACTTTTGCCCTTGAATGGCAAAAAGAAGCTAGGTCTTCTGAAAGAAAGATACAGGAAAATGTTCTAGAGTGAATTTTTGTTTAGGTTGCCCTGACTACCCCGGTGCTCTAGCTGATCAGTGGTTTTTAAGTTCCTTGGCGAGCCAAGTGATGCTACTGTCGGTCTGAAATATTTTATTCTGTCCCGTCGCTGGAAAACTGAATCCCTCAGTCGATTCATTGGTTTTTTTTCGATGGTAAATTAATGCTAGTGAATACCAGGAAGACAGAACTGTCTTCAGTTTGCTTCTAGCAGCTCTCGGAAAACGTGCAGTTTGCAGTTTTCAGTGGGGTAAACTGTTTCCAAGTGCTTTTTCTCCTAGAGAGTCAAGGAATGAATTTCTGATTCGAAATTCAAAAGAATTTATATGAATACTGATCAGATCTCGTGCTGGTGGATCTGTTCAGAAATGATACATCCACAGATTTTTTTAATTCTACAGTTTTTCAAGGTTTGTGTTGGATTTGAGTGCTTTGTCTCAGTTAAGTTTCATTTTTTGCGTCGATTTTTTAAAAAAAGAGCTTTCCTTTTTATCAAGAGATGTCCAGTGATAAGTGCAATATCAGCGTCTGCGTTAAGTAACACTTCTGTTCACTTTATTCCAGATAATCAAACAGTGGATGATCGAGTCTCATCAGAAACTATTCAAGGAGACGTTGACAATGGATGAAATCGGCCGAGTGCAGTGGTTGGTCTTCCATCTGACCTCCTTTCTAGGATGAATTTCATGGGTTCAACTTCATCTCCACAAAGATTTTTGCTGACGCTGTAAAGGAGGACTGATCGTTTTTTTTTGTTCTTGAAATTGTTCCAGCAGTATTCAAGTAAAGCAAAAAATTGCAGGAAAATGAATTAATGACGAAAATCCAAGCGAAGGGTTGCAAAAATCACTTAGGAAAGTTAGTTACTCAGTGGAATGCAAGTTATAGGTAGCAAGCGGAAAAGAGGCGAGGAGGCTGAAATCAGTTGAGATTTTGTTAATTAGAGCAAGGGCAAAAAAAAAAAAAAACTGTGTGCTGAAATATTAGACCAAATAACTTTGAAAATAGTCAAAACTAAACAAATAATTACGGAGAAATGCCAGTCAGGACTGAGCTCCGTTTCTAACGGATTTCAGGATACGCTATTCTTTTCAGGCCTTAAAAAAAAGGATAAGCTCTAAAATTTTCAGGGCAATAGCGGTAGGTATTTTTGCGGTCGGCGGTATGGTTGGTGGCTTATTGTCGGGCAAAACAGCAGATTGGCTGGGTCGCAAGGGAGCGATGATGCTCAGTAGTTTTGTGGCCCTTTTGGCTGGCGTACTGATGACGGCCTCGTACTATGCCAACGTATATCCACTGATGATTATTGGGCGTTTTGTTATTGGTGTCAATGCTGGTTCGTGATTTCCAGAATTATAAAAACCACCCGAAACCCCATATATTTCTTTAAGAGCTAGTGAAGTTCCTTTCCTTCTTCATCTTCTACTGTGTTAGGAAATATCACTAAATAAAAATAAACTAATGGCGCATACGCAAATAGTAATATAAATAGACAGGAAGAAATTATTGTTATAAATTTGCATGGAATTATAACTATGAAGAGGAAAAAACCAAAACTACGTGTGTATATATGTATGTACATATAACAAAATTACTAATATATAAAAATGTACATACAATATGCATGCTGACCAATTTGGCACAGTGATAAATAGCATGCCTGCTCTTAGTCTGAGTCGTTGTTCAAATTTACCAGTGAGAAAAACAATTTTTTATT